TGACTCCGACAGGGACGAGGGGGGATGGTCTGGGAGGGACCGTGGGGTGCTGTGGTCGCAAGGTGTTATCTTCCGCGCAGGCTCAGAACGCAGCTGGAGTGTCCATCCTCCCCCTCGGGTCGGACCTGGCAGGGTTCGGGAAACCGAGGGGGGAGGCGCTCTTAGCCGCGGGCGACGCGCCTCATCCACTGGCCGGCTAGCTGTTCTAGCTTCCTCCGCCGCTGCTCGCCCGCCAGGCCATAAATACCCTGTCGATTATTAAACAAACCTTGACGTGGCGGCCCGCTGCCAGGGACCAGCGGCTCGCGTCGGAGCAACGCCCCGCCCCTCCACCCAGCTCAAGGCCAGACTGAGGATCTTGGGAGACTGCAACATCACCACCACCTCAACCCCCTCGATGGCTCTGCGGGTCCAGGTCGAGGGCTCACAGGCGGTCGGAACTCCGGGGTGTGTGACCCGCTGGGGACCCAGCGCTGGGCCTAGACCTGTCAGAAGGACTAGGGGGCCGCAGGATACCTAACCTGTGGCGGCATCAGACTGCTGGTGACAGTGCGTGCCTGGAAAAACAAGTTAACTCCATGGAGATTCTTAGTAGACTTCCATGGCTCTTCCTTTATTCCTCCACCTCTCAAGTCTTTACTTCTCTGTTTGCCTGTCCCCCTGTCCCACTCGGTCTAAGTCAATAGATTAGTTCTCTATAGAACGACACACGCAGCTACACAGTGAGATCCTCACCCTAACTTCCAGGTCTTCCTCGGCATGGACAGGTACAATCCCTAGCCATCTTGTGTTCTACGTGGACACTCAGGGACCCCTCGTTGTGCCATACCACGCTTGACCTATTGCTGTCCCTGTCAGGATCTTGGGGGGGCGGGGTTGCGGGGTTGGGGGAGATCGCTTTTAAAACGGGGTTTCCTCAGTGATAAGATTTCACAGTCGGTGAGGTGTTTGTAATGCAAGCGCGAGGACCTGAGTTGTTTGGATTCCCCCTCTCCTAGTACACACGTTTAAAAGGGGGGGGGCACAAAGACAGGAGACTCCCTGGGACTGCTGGCCAATTCGTCTAAATAATTACAGAACTCAGGGTTCAGGGAGAGACCCTGTCTCAAAAAATAAGGTGAAGCGATTGAAAAATCTGCACACACGCACAAGCACACGCACACCAGAATTTACTGGTGGTATGCTAAGACACTTTGACCTATGTGGAAAAGCACTTCCTTGCCCATTTTAGTCAGCATCTGCTAACCCGAGTGGCCTTTGTTCTTACATCAGGATCTTAATTTTGCCCTTTATGCTTTCCCACCGAAGGAAGAATAAGCTGGTTCAGGTGGAAGCTGAAGGCAGGTTCCTCCTCTAGGAAGCATTAAAGTCAAGGTTTCCTGCGGACTGCCAATACAATTGTGAGCAGACCAGAATTATTTTCCTGTACAATCCTTTCATGCAGTTTGCCTAAGATACATAACAAAACAACAAAAAACCTCAAGAACTGTAAATATATCAAAATTTTATCACTATGATACCTAAATAAATATTTACAACAAATTTAATTGTAGAATAGAAGAGGAAAAATAAGACAGATAAATTGTATTGACCCCAATACCCCCTAATCCCAACCAAGGTTTCTGTTATACTTCAACACAGAAGTATCCTTCTGCCAATTTTTCAGCACCACTAGCTCAATGAAATAGCAGATACATGGTGCTGTGGCCATGGCCATTGAAGGGGAGGGCTCAGCGCACTGAACACTGCAGAGAGAGGAACAAGGGATGATCAGCCCTGGCAGATACCCCTCCATCTTCTCAGAAAAATGACATGGTACAGCAGGAAGGTGGTGCCTAGGATGGCTGATATGGAAATGTATCATTTTCACACATTTAGTAGAATTTACTAGATTTTGATCATGACCCACCCATATGCCTTCAGTATAAAGTGATTTAAGACTGGCCTCCTGCTCGCTGGGGTCTCACAATCTGCAAACAGACATAACAACCATAGCGCAGGGTGGAAAGCACTAACAGGACAACTATACAACTATGGGCATGGTGATTCTTCCTTCTTTGTCTTCTTAGAAGAAGGTGACATTTAGAACCAGCTCTGTAAAGATAGAGGAACCTACCGGACACAGGAAAGTGGGTGGAGGGAAGTAAAAGCTACAAGGGTAAGAAGCGTAGAATCCACTGTGACTACAGTGTCAGAAACAGGCCAAGAATAGTCCTGGGTTTGGCTATGATGAACCTTTTGTACCAATAGATTAATGTTTATTTCATAGGCAGTGCGAAGGTAGCCAGGGCTACAAATGGAACTGTAATGGATCCCTTCTTATACACCATGTGAAAGGTCCTACAGGAAGTGGGACAGGACTGAGGAAGAGCATGTGGGAGGCACAGAGTGATGGAAAGGTGGTCCTCCTCTGGAGTATTGTACAGTGAGTGTTAAAGCACTATCTATGTCAAAGATACTTGGTTGGTTTTTTTGTTGTTTTTGTTTCTTATTTAGTGAAAAAAAAACAGTATTCACTCATTGGAGTTATTTAGCATTTATTGCATATTTGGTTCCTACCGTGATCAGGACTTGGAGTAATATGTAATGACATACCGCACCCAGTTTGTAAGGAGCACACAGTCTGCTTAACATAAAAAAACTATGTTAAAAGCAAAATAACAAGACAAAATATTAAGTATAAAGTGAGTGTCATAGTGAACTTGTGTAATGCCAGTTAAAACAAGATTGCTGGGAGAATTAGAGACATTGCCAAGCACAGAGCACCCTCCAAATATTGGGGGGGGAGCCTTCAAAATAGCATTGTTAGAAATGGCTCACATTATGCTTGTGGTGGTTGGGGGTAGGGTGGGGGCTAGAGCAACAGCTTTGGCTGCTCTTGCAGAGGACCTGAGCTCAGTTCCCTGTACCCATTTGGTGGCTCACAACTGTAACTCCAGTCCCAGAGTCTAACACCGTCTCCTGATGCCTATCAGCACCAGGCATGCAGGAAGTGCACATCCATACCTGCCTGCAAAACATTAAAACACATAAAATATCAAATATCAAAAACCAGCAGCAAGAACAAGACAAAAACAGGACACCTACCCAATAAGTGGTGTCCTGTTAGCAATGAGGAATCCAAGGAAAGTATATCTTCAGACAGCCATGGGCCATCTGACCTCAGAAAAACCCATTATCAAAGCACCTATGTGGAGACAGGTTAGGAAAAGCAAGGTGGAGCTTATTATCTTAAAACGAGAAATACCAGGCAGCTCTGGAAGACATTTAATAAATTGCATTATTGTGTGTGATTGAGACATAGGCCTTCAACACTGCAAACTGAAACCCCACACAAGATTAGAACAGAGCACTTATACTACTTACTGACTGGAGCCTCAAAAGGCTCCAAAGAGAATGTGACATTTGATATGTTCTTGGGGATACAAAGGAGTATGTCTGTCAGAGAAAAAGGAAAAGAACCTTCCGAACACAGTGAAAGGAGAAGCATGGGAACCCAGGACCAGTGTTGTCAAAACTGTGTTGTCAAAGTTGATAAATGGGACGAGAGCCAAGCTATTACATAAACACTGCTAATTCCCAAACCTGTGAGTTGTATTTATAGTCTTCCTGCCTAAAATGTATATGTGTTATGTAGATGGAGCCAGGTGGCTTCAGAGTTGGGAATAACCACTCAGGTGCAGCTCTTACCCCAAATTAGACATGAAAAAGGAAAAGGGTTAGAAGACATTATGTGACAAAGTGTCTATTCAAACTTCACAGCCATCAGAAATAGGCAGAGCAGCGACGGGACTAGTTACAAAAGCAAAATGACCCAGCTCCTGGAGTTGAGCATCCCCAGCGCCCTGGGCTTAGTACCTGAATGAAGAACAGTTCTTGGACATTGGATGCTATTCACTCTCTTGTAGTTTTCCTTCCGACTTAATGGATTATTAGAGCACAGAGCAACCAATGTGCACCTGTTACCTGCACCTCTGAATGTCTTCCTGGTGCTCACTGTGCTCCAACAGTAAGGTTCCCAAGGATCTAATATGGTCAGCCTATCTCCAACATTGTATGGACAGACAATCTGCCCCTAATGCCTCAAAGAAAGAGTGCTGGACTTGACCACAGTCTTCCTGGAGGACTGGTTTGATTTAACTGCCTAACTTCTGTCCACTCGGTCTGCACCCAAGCCTTGCCCACAGTACTTGATGCCCCTCTCCCTCTCAAGTCATCGCAGCTTGGGCTGGTACAGCATTCCAATGAGAAGAGTGTGGAAAGGAACGGCATGTATTGGACTTTGAGGGCGTCCTTTGCAAGGAATTTGAGAACGCCCCAGAGCGCCTACGATCCCTGCCACGCCCATCCAACCCGCAGCAGCTCACGTTCGCGAGTGACCCGCCTCCGCGGATCTGAGCCTGTAGACTCCTTGCCCACTCTGGATTCTTTCGGGGGCGTGGCAGGGCGTGGCCAGCGAGGGTGTGAGCCCCACCCCCCCGTGCCAGAGCGCAAGCGCGGGCTGCAGCGGGCCAAGATG